TCTTTCCGGTCCTGATACGAATGTATTCCTCAGTTCTTTTAGGTTACTAGAGTGATTAAAAAATAGTAGATTGTTTTATTAGGATCAAAAGTGACACTTTGTTTGACAAGCGAATTTTTCATTTGCGAGGCGGAGCGTTTAGCGAAGCCGAGCGAAAGCAAAATTTGCGAGTCGAACAAAGTCACTTTTGATCCGAATGAAACATGCTATTTTTTCTGCAACCGAAACAATTAACTCAAATAAATATGTGAAGTTACCACCAATGCCGTCCATATCTATGCAATGCAACAAATATTGACAAATAATCCGTGTAGTGAGAACATTCTACCTGCATCAACAGCAGGTTCATTCAATTTTCAAGAATGTTTGAATTGCAGTTTCAATATAAGTACAATCACAGAGTGACATATTTGTGTATGGACCAGGTACTCTAATAGTAAATACCGCGCCAGTGCCAGCTATAGGAACAAGACGTGGAAAATGTTAGGTTAATGAGCATATCAACAATGCTAATGGCGATTATTTACTCCTCTCTATAATACAATGTTTTTCGCTTAATAATCAAATGAAGCTGAACAATATCGTTGTTCGATCCATCCCGAGAATAACGAATGAAATACAGATCAAGCAAGTATTTGAATCTTGAAGGCTTTCCTGATCAAACAAAAATACTTAGCTGAGATGTTTATAATTCCAATACTAAACTATAATAAGGTGTATTTATGTCTTCAGCATGGGTATGAAATTCCAAATCTGCTGAAATCGGAAACAAATCAGGTATGCGTCTCAACCCAAATAACCAACCGTCACAATGTTGTTCATTCTTGATGACGTCCAGTACTTTCTTTTTAGTTCCTAGGAGCTAGAGTTCAACTTCAGCTCCTAGGAACTAAAATTCAACTTTAGCTCCTAGGAACTAAATATGTTGCCTAGCAACCTACCTATTTTTGTGTCAGTAATAGAAACGTCAATTTGAGAGCTAATTTTGGTATCAAAATGGACGACTTTTGTGTCGGTTGCAGAAAAAAAATATTCTGGTCCTGATATTGATTTCGTTCTGAAGGCTACTTGTTAAAACTTTCGAGTTAAATTCATGTACCAAATTTGAACCCAATCGGGTTAACCCTGTATTTAATATGGCAGATCGAATTTTTGTCAAAATCCACAAATCACTCTGTATGTCAGTAACGAAGCGGTTTTAGATATTTGTATATGGCATTCTGCAATCATATTGGCAAGCCCTATAACCCAATAAGTTTCGTCGGTTTTATATTTGTCAAACCCGTATATGGTATGTGTATATCTCAACTTAGATGTTCATCCTTTCTGAACATTCCAAAAATTCTCATTCTTTACGGTGATATTCCAGGAGATATTTTATCTATCTTGTTTGGAGATGATTGCTCCGGCTTCTTTTTCTTTTAATTAACTGGAATATGAGTCGTAAAAGCTTCATCGTGACAATAAAATTAAGAAAATGAAGGGCCACCCACTATTTCATGGGAATTGAAAAGCTTACATCAACTTGTGTATGGGGCACTTATGCCAAATATAAAATAATCAGAATAAAAACTGTCGTTTTATGCGTCAGTGACTATCTCATTATCGTCAGAGCACGTTCCACAATTCATGCCCACGATTATTGTCACAATACATCCAGTGGCGTATCATCCATGAAAACTAAGGAAGAAGAAGAAAAATTGTCTGTTCTGAAAAATCAAACCTTGTCGCACTTTTTACGGAAGCACCCCCGTATCTAACGTAATTGACTTCATCTTTGGACTTCCCCTTCCTCCTGCAAATTTCAGAACCCTACCTCAATAATTACGTGAGATACGGGGGTGCTTCCATGAGAAGAGAGACAAAATTTAATTTTTCTGAACTGGAAATTTTCTAGGAGAACTAATATCATTTTCCGGAAATTGGGGTGGTTCCATGGCTGTTGGCGAGCACTGTATATCACTGAAGATGGCCCCACTTGATCATAGAGTGCATCTTTGGTATATCTCTCGCTCCAGCAAATTTCAGGATCCTTACCCAACGGTTACGTTAGATACAAGGCGCGTGTTCCATTAGAAGTGGGTCACACTGTAAATGCTGATTATATTTATCCCTGCAATTTTGCGTTGACGAATGCGTGTCCTGGATTTCTTGTTGTATCAATTTGGTTTGCACTGTTCGATTTATTTTTATGAGACCAATATTTTGGAAGCCTAATGATAACTCATTGATAATGATTTTCTGATCCGTCAATTTTTTTATTCATGTTCTGGTTCCCACGAAAAGGGATATCCCGTAATCATCAGAGAACATCGTGAGAACCAAGGGAAATAAGGTAGGAATTGGTGTTCCAGAGCCTCGCTGTTCGTTGAATGAACTAGTCTTTGGAAAGAGATGTTCTGCAGGTCTCCAAAGTGACCACGAAGGGGTGCGATGCCGCAACTCGACGGGTTCGTCTCGCTGGGACTGCTAAGGGAGGAACAATTGTTGATATTCCAGAAGAGCATCGTCTATGAAAATATCTATGAAATAGAGCCAGATCGCCAACTTTCCTACGGTGTTCCAGAGAAGTGAGTGAGTTTGTGAGTGAGGCTTCACCCACGAGACGACTTGCCCTTTTTTGGTCAGAATCCAACAGGAAGCAAATGTATATTAAATTTCACTGAATATTCTAGATACCTCGATATAATAAAGAAACAGCCCTTGAGGTATCGTGAATTGCAAATTCAAATACTCCTGCTTGATGACTCTTATATAGTCGGTGATTATATCATTGGCTTCCTCAATATTTTCAACAATATCCTCGCCTATATAGCTGACTCAAATTATCATTCCTTCGTGGGCGATACTCTTCTAATAGTGATATTTCAAGCGCAGTGATTTTGGTGTCAAACTCCAGATTTTTGTTTACTTCAAAGATATTGGAAAATACTGATATTTTCATTTATAGAGAAGACACTTCCTCGATATACCTACAGATAGTATTTGATGAATATAAAATAATGTTTCTTAGGCCTTACCCCTTGGGTCATCCCGTACAGTTATTATTCAGTCAGATCATTTCTAGAGCTCAGTAGTAGAGGTAGTCGGTATATTACCCACCGAAATATTAATATTCCTGCAATCAGTTATTTGAGCAGTAAACGTAGGGGCTCAAACATCCAAGGTGTAATTAACAGCAACATAGGTATACTGGCAGAATTTGAATTACATTCCACTCTAATTGGATATTTCATTATATACATATTCTGCTTATTTGTGGTTGGTGCTATTTGTGAATTGATCTGTCGGTATAGTTATGACTCCCAATACTTGAATGAACATTCGTTGTATGTACCTATTCAAGAAATTCAACAGGGAATGAAGTGAATATAGGTACATACCTACACTGACACTGATGTCTTATCTCGTCTGTTGTTTAATCTTCCTCGAAACAGGTTGAAATTCTGTTGTGTTGAGAGCTGGCTCAAAAGTTAGAGGCCTGTTCGATTGTGTTTGCTCTACTTGCTGAACTTGATTTGTTTCTATGACTTCCTCAGTTTACATTGTACCATGACCAGAGACAACTATGGGAACAAAATCAACTTTAGGAAGTTTAGCAATACAAACGAACAGACCATAGTAGTGAAATCTTCCAAGCAGGCCTGGTTGCTTTTTTATGCAGGGCGCTCATTACAAGTTATCTTTATTTGTATGTTCTGGATCCCACGAATAAGGATATCCTGTAATGTTCAGAGAACTTCGTGAGAACCAAGGGAAATAAGGTAGGAATTGGTGTTCTTCTTAAATTGCTAGAGGTTATATGCCTCGGGGAACACCTCCCCTGACATTGTGTTCCAGATCCTCGCTGTTCGTTGGATGAACGAGTCTTTGGAAAGAGATGTTCTGCAGGTCTCCAAAATGACCACGAAGGGGTGCGAAGCCTCAACTCGACGGGTTGATCTCGCGGGGACTGCCAAGGGAGGAACAATTATTTTTGATATTTCAGAAGAGCATCGTCCATGAAAATATCTATGAAATAGATCCAGATCGTCAACTTTTCTACGGTGTTCTAGAGAAGTGAGTGAGTTTGTGAGCGAGGCATCACATCACTTGTGTTGCAAATTGAATAAATTAACTATTGAAAAAAAGACATGAAAATGATGAAGATATATAAGGTTTTGAGAAATCAGTAGCTCATGAAACACCGACTCGATGGTTGTTTGTGACGTCGGGGTCAAATATTAATATTCTTCGTGGTATCCTGTATGGCGAAAGTCAGTTGCGACAAAATTAGGGCACGAACCTAACCGTAATTTATGACCCTAACGCTGAAATTATTATTCAAATTTTATATTTACGACCGACCTGTTATAAACGGCTAATGAGATTTATTGTATCGGATTACACCATAGCTCCGGTCAAGTATGCATCTCACATATATATTAATTTCGCGCCAGTATGATATATTATCATTCGCAGGGCATAACAGCTTGCATTTTACGCCATTTCGAAAATTACAACGTTGTTATGTGGCCTCAAGTATGCTCATTATGATAATTCCAGACAAGAGTGAGTATTTTGGCCAGAAGGACTTGCTCTGGTTAATATGGCATAAATATGATATATCTCTCGTACATACTGTATATCTAGGAGCAGAAACTTTGAGAAAATTATGATGAATAACTTGGAACATTATCTCATAAATTATGCAAGCCCAGAGCCATTATTTGGCATAGAGAAAGAGGATGGAGTCAACTGAGTCTTCTAAAAAACAATATCAGTTACTTGGGTCTTTGTCGACATGTTATAGTCTTACTTCCATCTCACAAATCGATAAGCATTTGAAACCCATATCGAGGAATTGTTTTAGAGTAGGAATGAGAGGATTCCTGTGCTCAGGGCATCATTATGACGTAGTATATGGAGAGGAATGTGGAAAAGACATTCAAAGAAATCATAGAAGCACAGGAACACATAATAATAACTTTTCCAAGAATAACTACTTTTACTCTACTCACTGTACTTCGAATGTCCTTCCATTGCCCCACATGCAAACCTTTATGCATACCTAATATTTTTGTAAGGAAGCTAAAACTTGTTTCTCCATTCAAATTCTGTCATTCTATTCAAGAGGGTTTATGATAAGCCTTGTCAAGTTCAGTACATTCAGCGATTCACGAACTCTTGGAGTGAAGAAGGTTATTGAGCTGAATCAAATATCTACATGACAATGAAAACATAATACAGGTTCCTCAATGCCCCTTTTCCTCTCATGTGCTATACGCAAATCCTTTCCCAAAACTTTCCACTTCACCACTCCCTGGAGAAAATAATATTAGCGTCTATCCATAGCACCAAAAAACGAGGTAGTATTGCCTGGCTCACTGCTCGCTGGGAGCGAGAAACATGCATATGAATATGAAAATATTGTTGTGAAATGTTACATAAAAAATAGGTACCTCGTCAAAAATACTGAAGCTTCGGGGGGTGTTACCTTATATCGTGTCACCTGCTACATAGATAGATAGAAAAAAACTATAATGAAAAAATCAATTCGTTATTACCAGCCTATGCTTAACCGCCATTTCAATGAGAAATGAAAAATAAGTATATTTGATATTTCATGCAAGTATGATACCTCATTCATAATGGAAACTAAACCATATGATATTCAAGGACAATTTTCAATCCATTTGATGATACCTCTAGAGTCTAGATCTTGTAAAAACTATTTGAATATATAGAGAATGATCGTGTTAAAGAGAGTTCCCCTAACTAACTCACCCTGTGTACATTTTTCTGATATTCCGTGTCGACTTACCCCGTCCAGAATGTCACTTGGCTATCATTTGGGCAATTTTAGCAGCGAAATAATAACGTTAATTGCTTCTTATTGTGAGGTAGCATAGCTCGTTCTTATGTACAATATTCGTTTTCGTGTAAACAGTTTTGCATACTAGTAATACTATCCATATAGATAGTCACTTCAATGAAAGCAGGAAAATTCAAATGAATTTTTTTGGTGCACTGTATTCGAGACTGTATTCAATCCAGCGTCACCCAGGTGGAAAATCTGTATATTATCACTCACGTGAGGTCTGAAACCCGAGGATAAAAAACATTAGGATATTTCTTAGATGTGTACATGAAATGAGTTCTTAGATGTATTTACTTCATAGTTATAAACATAAACTTCTTTTAATATAAGTTCGAAATGAGTTCAATTCATAAGATATCATCATAAATAGCGAAGCTCTCACGAAAAAAAAAACATGATATCTTTGAAAACTGTTGAAAAAATTAACAACACTCCAGTCTGTAAGATTTCATTCAAAACTGATTACGCAAATGTTATCAGCTAGAAAAGAAGCATGAAGTATATGAAGAAAACAAAAATATATAACTTTTTGTTCCACAAGTGGGGCTTCCCAGACCCCAAAGTTTTTTTTATGCACGGTCACTATCTTGGTAACTGACCAAAGACCGAATTCGCGCCAGAATATCACATCAACAGTTTACCATATATTATAATATTATGTAGGTATACTTGCAATATAATATTTCAGTGTGAAATTCTCTCACCGAATACCACTTTAGCTTCAATTAATATCCGGAAATAATTGAAGCTCTCGTGATATTATAAGTGAAAATACCGAGCATAGATATAGTGGTCTTGGTGGGAATGATATGGTACCAGACATTGTTATATTAGGCATACTGAGTTCCGCCTTCCCAGAGAAAATACAGTCTTGAATATTGGTGGCGTTGAATTCAACTAGGTTTATGGTTCCACAAGTTTTTAGTTTCCTGGGAAGGAATGGGTGTATTCAGGAACGCAAGCGGCGGAGGGGTGGGGAGTTTCAGGACATTGATTGTCTGATAATTATGAGTAAGTTTGCAGATATTTAGCTAGTTAATAAGGATTTTATGTTTAAAACATAATAGTCTTGAGCTATTGATGAAATGAGGTTCATTTTTTATTCAATATCGTTCTTGCATTCGATGAGTTTTTCATAAGATGGAAATTCAAGATGTTCTTAAGAAGGTTTGCCTGGACGGCAGTATCACGTCGCTTTGGTGCTATGGCTAGAAGCTAGTAAAATAATCACTTAACATCTCCGCACCGTTGACTGGCTCTCGACAGAGAAGGATGGAAGGGAAGAAATCGCGCCGGCAGATATCGCTGCCAACCCCCGGAACATAATAGCCCCGATCTGAATTCCAAGTAGGCGGCGGAAACACCTGAAAGTGCATCAAACACCCTCGAAAGGAATATCAATGCAATAAACGGGAGAGAAATGGTAGAAAGGACCGAGATGGGGAAAGAAGAATTGGTCTGAGGTCGTTGGGGGCGATTCGGGGATTTGTCGATAGGAATTGGAGAATAATTGTGGTTGGGGTAGCAGTTCAGTTGATCGTCATAATAGGCCTTATATATCGAGTAGGTTGAGGAGCTGGGATGAATGTTGAATGTGGAATGGAGAAGGTACCTGTGGCATGTCGCATAAACTGGATTCAAACCAAATTATATGATGGTTAGTGTGACAAGATTCTATATTTTTATTCGAAATTGTCATCGTCAAGAATTCAATGAATCAATCATCATTGCGGTTGGGTAACATATGAAATATTCTAGCATTATTATCTATTTCATTATTTGTTGAAGTTATATATAGTCCAAGATCCCATGAACGCCAGACCTTCGTTATTTTATTAAAGCTGAAAGTTTCCCAACGATGGGCAAATATGGAGAATAGGCAATATATGTATAATATCGGGATAATAATAAAAATCACGTCATCTATTGCCAGACACGTTACTATGGTGGCTACTCCTTGCCAGACACCTTTAAACCTTAAAGAATTGTAATTATCATAAGCTGGACCTAACCTAGTGTAGAGGCTACTGTCAAAATTATTACACATGATAATATGAGATAAAAGGTATTTATTTCATTTATATTACGAATTTTGTTGGTTCAATCATGGTCCAAATCACTGGAATACTTGAGAAGAATCTGGTTCACATGGACTTTGGACATATATTACTTTGTTATATTTAAACGCAAAAATATCCTTATGCATAATACTAGAAATCGAATAAAATATAAAGTTCCAAAGTTGCTGTGTTGTGTTCAATATTTACGATATGAGATGAGGAACTTGTCTAACGAGGTTGTCAGGCCGAGTTTGATGACTCAGCGAATATCGGAATGTGTTCAATAACTAAAATTATATAGTATTTGTAGTAGATAGGTAGATACGTATTTCTTGTCAACTTTCATCTCCTATTCGATTAGATAATCTTATAGATATTTCTATAAATAAACTTCCACATTATTTGTTTGAGAAAAAATGAGAGATTGATTTATGTATACCACTTCATCGCACTTTACTCCAATTATATTACTTTATTACGAATCAGAGTGTTGTAATGTTCGACATTATACATATATTGGTAGTAGCAGAACAACCATCATTCTTTCAAAACGGTCAATTCTTGTATGGAACATAACAGTCACTCATTTATAGAAGCAACTCAATATCATGATAGTGAATGATAGTTATAGGTATATACAGGGTGAATCAGAATAAGACCGACAAGCTTCGTATACAGATTCCTGACTTCATTTTGGAGTGAAAACTTTCTTTCAACGTATGTCTTAAAATGTATCCTCTCCAAAAAATAGGGTATCAAAAGTATGAAGGAAATTGAATTAAATTGCTTCGGAACCCCTGTCGTCAGAGAATTGGGACTCGGTTTCATAACAAAGAGTTTTCATTTTTGAATTTCGTAAAGCATCACTGGCGTAGTTACAGTCGTATGTCACCATATTTTCCTTCATATTTGTTCATACACAGACGAATTCTCAAATTGGTATGAGACATCAGTTATGGGCTCATCGATACCTAACCTGAAAGTTACAAAATTCCACATGCCTAAATATGTGAAGGTTCCTGAGATATTCGCGAAGAACTAAAGATATGTTTTGGGGTGATATTGAATTCGCTGCATGTCATATTCCCGTAAAGCTGATCTTTCACGAGATAGCAGAAAATGTATCAACATCTCGAACATTTTTGAGTGTTGAGAACATTGAGAACAAAGTACCTATAAGTGAGATAAAAGTAGATCGACAAACTTATTTCTCATTCCACACGTTATTTAAGTGAATAGTTTATATTGAGTTATGTCTTATAATGAGTCTAACTGATATCACACATCAATTTGACATTTCTAAAATATGGAGAGGAATGTGGCGATATACGAATGTAACTACGACACTGATTAACAAAATCCAAGAATATACTCAATGAGAATACCAGATTTGAATTTTTCTCCTACAAGGGTTCCGGAAGAATTAGTAAAAGCCTGATTTTTTACGTATACTTTTGATATCCTGTATCTCAGAAAGGATGAATTCCGGACATGATAGGAACTTTTCACTCCAAAATGAGGTTAGGAATCCGTATTCGCAGTTTGTGGGTCTCAGAGTACTTTGAATAATTTGTCTATTCGTCTTTAATATTACCCAGTGTTTATATACTTAGTTTGTGATATATTTTTTAAAGCTATATATGTGTTAGTATTCGTTTATATATGTATGTATACATCTTTTTGTGTATATTTATATATTTGACTATTGCTATATTACAAAACTGTAATCTTTGGCAAAATAAATGATATCTATCTATCTATCTATTCTGACTCAGCCTGTTGTATATTTTTTCGATGTTTTTTTTTTTGGGTCGAGAACCTCCACACGCCTCCAATTTCCATTAGCTCTCCACTTCCAGCTTGCCATTTTGGGGTGTCGTTATGACAACAGGGATTATTTTTACCCGGTAATGGGAAAAAGACTCGGCGCATTCCTGAGGGACAAGGAAACTGAAATAAATGGACACCTTCGGTTGAATAAGCCGTTTATTTATAAGAAAAGACAAATGGGGACATAATCCTGCCAGCGGTAGATTAGATACAGGACGTTCATGGGCGCCCACAGCATTTTTTTTCTAGAAAAGGCACTATCAGACTCTCTAAACCACTAGA